TATATACTTTTTAGTGCACCCCAGACACTTTACTTCCCCACTTATTACCTTCACCAAATTTGATTCCACGAGTTGTGCCTTCAAAAGAATAAAGAACTTGGTTTTGAGCTACTTGCACCTCATGAACTACTTCTTGCTCCCCAATGGCTCCTCCTTCGCCATGACCTCCACTTTCTAAAACCTGCCCGGTCTCATTGCCAACCTTGTCCTGCAAAATAAATAAATCCGCGGTTGCCCCGTCCTCAGTTCTAATTGTCAAATCCATCCAATAAGAAATAGGGGAAGGATCAGAAAGATGAAAACCTTCACTAGTGGGGCTTCCAACTTGGGACTTCGCCCAAGAATTAGTAGATAAAATCTGAACACATTTTTGTCCCCTTAATTTCGGGCTCAAGGTTTTCCCTATTACTCTTAATGAACTTGTGCATTCCTACAGACCTCTCATCTACAACAATTTCCATTATATACTTTTCAGTGGACCCAGACACTTTACTTCCCCACTTATTACCTTCACTTCACCAGATTTGATTCCACGAGTGGAGAAATCTTGATACGTATCACTATTTCCAATCCAGAAGGAAGCTCAGTGACTCCCTTGATGCAAAGATAAGACCTCTGGACAATGGATGAGAGTGGATGGTTTCCTAGTCATCTTAAGGCTTTTCTACAAAATTCAATATGGAAAGTCTAGTAGTTTGCATGTAATGGTATCTTTCCCAACTCACTGCAAATATTCCCCCTCCATGTTCTGCCTTCTCAAGATTGAAACATGCAACACCAAACAATCCAAATAAGGGGAAATTTAAGCACCATTATTACCTTGGTCAGAATCTGTGCTGCAATAACTTCCCTCTATTATTCAAAACTTGTGTCTTACATAGGTTTCCTTAGGGAGTGATGTCAAAGATTCAATGTATGTTCAAGAGGCCTTCAATGGTATCCCTTTGTCAATCTAGCAATAGACCTGAATGCAAGACAATCCATATGAGCATTTTATAATAGAAGAACTCTGTTAATTGAATTGGAAGCCAATTCTTTGTTTAAGAAAGTAGAAAGAGAAGGATAAAAGAACACACATTAACTTAAGAAAAATCAGATATCTTACCACCTTAATCACCCTGCAAAAATGAAGGTCATTATCAAGACACTTACCTTATTTTCTAACAATAACAATAGTAATAACAAAAACGGCCATCCTTGGGAAGGTAATATAGAAATTCAAAGGATATGGATACCATCTGGTGGATTATGTATAATTACTTATGAGCTTTAGGAAGCCTTACCTCTGAACAATTCCAAAACGCTGGAAATGTTAGTAAGGTTGTTAGGCTGTTTGCGAAGTATGCTGAGATTACAAGAAGGGCCAGAACAAATAAGAGAATGTGCAAACTACCCAAAAATATGGTAAACACACTTAATGAACAGCATTTGGTATAAGAAACAGTTTGGTGCCTAAACTTGGAAGCAGTGATCACAATATACAAATATACAAATAAGCATCCTTCTGTCCTTAAATTAGTTTTATGGAGAATAATTGTGATGTCCAACATTTGAGCAAAAGAGGAACATATTAAGATACATTAAAGAAAATTAAAGTAAGAAATATTAAGAAATAAAAGAAGTATACTGCAAGAAAATAACATTTTTACACAAGGGTTGGACACGTGCATCTCAAAGTCCCATGTCCAAGTTTAACAGGCAACCAAGTAGAAAGTCAACAATCGAGGGAAGCTTTCCCAGACCTATTTTGATGGCTTGATAACATATAACTATATAAGTTACAAATACTTCCATAAAAAGACTAAAAGATGATAACTTGGCATGGTAGTATGTGTTTCAATGGGAATTAACAAACCATTCCACCTCCTACTTGGCATAATACCAAACGGTTGGTGTTCAAAGACAAAAACATTAACCATTCATGCACTTTTTTGAATTATTATTGCTAGTGCAGATAAATTTTATATCCTTGCTTAGTCCTCTAACAAAGAATCTATTGGAGTAATAGACATCAGTTATATAATGATAGCGAGGTGCAAATGAAATTCCTATAAATTGTCAAGTGCAGGTTAGAATACATAGAGAGAGGACAGAAAGTAGGATAAATGAGAGACTAAAGAGCGGCATCCACACAGCTTTTGGTTGGAGGAAGTTCATAGCAAGAGAAGCACTATTGGAAGTTTGTACTTTCAACTTAGTTCACATCTGTCCTTTGATCATTCGTTAGGATGCACTGTGCCGTATCATGCAAACTCTTGTATGAGGTTGTTAATTAAGATTGGCATTGGATTAGGGACAGGACATTGGCCATAGTGTGTGACCCATGCATTGAACTGGACTATGGGTTTTATATTGTTCGAAATACGATGAAAGCTAAATTATTAATTTTGTAGGGAAGTTACAAGAGGGTATTGCCAATAAGGCGTTGGATCAACTAGTTAAGGATCGATCCCTTATATAAGGGTTTTTTTTTATTTTTTAGTAGTTTCTGTCTTGAATGGTTAAATTAATTAGGGTGTTTGTTTTGCCATTTTATAAATAATTATTAGTTATTCGTTCTAATTAAATTGATTAAAAACTTTAAATTTTAAATAACAATAATAATTAATTTTTAAATAATAATTATTAATTATATCAAGACAGTAATTCAAATTCCTTTATATTATATATATTTGTACTGTCTTGTACTCTACATTTAAAAAAAAAAGGTTACAGTTTTACCGGCATATCACATGGGTTTGGTGCCATATGTGAAGAAATGGTTGGCTTATTTAGGATGACAAGTGAGAATTGACATAATCATTCAATTAACTACCCCTTAACCACTTTTTGCTGTTCAAAAAACAAAAAAACTACCCCTTAACCATAAACTGCAAACCTTAAAGTCATCAACCACCCCCTTCTTCTGTATTCAATTCTAAAACACATGGTGGGAAATCAGAAGAGGTTAGGAGGATGAGGCAAAGTTAAGGTCAACTGATGATATTTTAATAAAAGAGGGGGGAAGATGCTACGTAAGTTAAAAGATAATGTTAGATACACGTTGTAAAAACAATGTGAACTTGAGGCGAAATTTCAATAAAGCAATAGGGCCTGGTTCAACACGGAGTTCGGGACGTGAATCGGATGCCCCACGGCTTACGGTCTTACCTTATTTATTTATTTATATATTTATTTATTTCGATGATTAAACTTTCTTTTAATAAATTTTTATATATTTTAAAATTAATTTTATTTTAAATTATTTTAAGAGCTTATCTTATATTAGCTTAATATATTTAAAAAAATTAATTTTCAACATATTAATTTAACACCTAAATCTTAATATGATTTATAAAATAATATTTATTTATTAATAAATTTAACTTAACCCAGTTTGATGTTACCTTGTTTAAATGTTTTTATTATGAGAAAGCATGTGTTGCATTGTTTGGGTTGGCATACACTGTTTCTCAGGTAATTAAAAATAAGAAAAATATTATTAATTTAGATTTGCAATTAAATTATAAAATTTAAATTATAAAATAAAAAATAAATAATTTAATCTTAAAATTTATTATTATTTGATCATTTTAATCTTATAATACAATACAATTCACTTTTAAAACTGAATTATCAATTAAAAATGTTGGGATTTTGTCAGGAGCTGACTTTGATTTTGATTCCTTCTTTTCCATAGTTGACCAGGAATGTAGTTATAAACGACGAAAGAGCAGTGCTAGGGGCACTCGCCCACATGCCTTTTTATTGGGCCACGTAAGCTTGCTTGGCTATCGGACGATCACCTCTCACAATTCTAAATAACGTGGCCCAATAAAAATGGAAGTGTTGGTTGGAGTGCAATTGGCGAGTGTCCCTAGCATTGCTCAACGACAAAATCCTTCTACAATTAAAAAAAAATTATAGTGTTTTTATTTAATTTGATTGATTTTATTTATTTAATAAAAATATTTTTTAAAATAATTAATTATAATATATTTGATAATATTAAT